TCTCTCTCTCTCTCTCTCTCTATCTATCTATCTATCTATCTATCTATCTATCTATCTATCTATCTATCTATCTATCTATCTGTGTGTGTGTGTGTGTGTGTGTGTGTGTGCTCCACAGGGAATGTTGTCCGATATTTGATTAATCCCACAACGCCATCATCACCATGACCATCATTGCCATTGTGATCATCATTGCCACCACCATGATCATCCCATCACGGCCGCCATGGTCGTCTTTGCACATCAAGATCTTCATTATCGTCGTCATCATCATTACTGCCATCAGATCATTGTCCTCCAGCTCGTCATCTTCATCGGCATCATTGTTGCTGTCATCATCGTCACCTATGCGCCATCATCATCATCATGTCTGTCATCGTCACACATTCCTGTCATCATTATCATCAACATCATCATGCTGGGGCATTGTGTTTCTCGCACATCCTTATAAGCCAAAAAAATTGAGTGCTGTTAAATGCCTCGTTGTCATGAACGTTTACAAGCCTATTCCCAAGTGCAGTGATTATGCTGAGGCACTGCATTCAACGGGCACTGCCTATCACCATCACTGTGGCAGTCATCAGTCGTCACAATTAATATCACTGTGGTGGGGCTTCGCTTGGCCCTTCACAGCCAAAAACAAAACATTGGGCACCTTGTGCCCTGTTGCCCTTTATGCCAACGGAAAAAAGAACGAACACCAGGCTGCGGCAGCAACTGGTGGGCTACTTCCTGAACCCGGCCAGTTTCCACGGTGCGGGGCACCATCAAACGAGACTCACTGCTGTGTTGCCCTTCACCCAACCATATACCAATACACTTTAGGGCATCCTCACGCTCGCTCTATCTTAAATGTATCTGACAGCATTTACGGCCAGACCCGGATGCATCTGACCGCAATTACGTCCATAGACTCCATACGTAAGTTCAAAAAGTGTGAGTATGCCCTTAGGTGGGCAACACAGCAGAAAATGGGAACCCGGAAAATTTGGAGCTCAGAACGATTCACTTGCGGCTGATTACCCACTCGATTGGATAGGGTTGGATGTTGCTTTTGCCTTCTTGTTGCTCCGTTTTCCCCTGAGGAGGGTGGTAGGCCCTAGGTCATGGTCCATATTGATTGCCTTTCTATGTCTGTCTAGCTGAGACGCAGCCTGAGCTTGTGATTGAACAGTTCAAAACACTAGTGCCCCCAACCCCCCCTTATTTTTAACTGCTCACGTCGGGTGACGGCGGATGGCTGAGCGGTGGGTCGGGGTACCCGCCCACAGGCGGTCGATTTCCTTCCAGAAAATTTTGAGTTTGCCGACTTTGGCAATTTTTCGTGCTCAGATTTTTTTACTGAAAAATAAAAGAAAAATCAGGCATGCAGATGGAGTGCTGACTGGCCTGGGAAGAGTACTTGAGAAATTAGAAGAAGTTCTCCATCGCAAAAAGTTATGGGCTGCAATGCAAGTATGTTTCGTGTTCAGGTCCACCCTCGACAAAATTCTGGGCAGCGACGGTGGTTTCACAAGAGTGTGTGTTTCGTGTTCAGGTCATCCCACGACCCTTGCAGGGACCATGATACTTGGTTCTGCACTACTTATTGACAATGAGAGTATGTTTCCTGTTCAGGTCCACCCTCGACACTTGGTTCTGCAGTCGTATGACTCTTGCCTGGCCACCATGACTTTGGCAGGACATGCTGAAAGCCTGAAACTAATGGTCAAGCTGGAGACTGGAACCAGACCCTTGCCCCATTACTCTCTTCTGGTCCTTGATGGTTACTACTGAGAATATATTTGGGACAAAATTTCTATGCAGCGGCTACCGTCTTCACCCGAATAGAACGCCTGGTAGTTATCGCCGTATCCGGGCTGAAAGTTGTGCTTTTTAATACAGCTATAATGACCGGGCGTTCTATTCGGGTGAAGACGCTAGTGTGTACAATAACTCCATTCATTCTGCCACTGGCATCACTCCAACGAACCGCAGACGAGATGGTGGACCGAAAATCCAATTGACTTCCTTCTTCCTGAATGGTCCTTTGGGCTCATGCCTGATGTGTGCGTCGTGGTTATATATCCCAAGTATCAAAAGATACGCGCCCAGCGGTTGCCACCGTGTGAAAACAACAGGAGGCCATGGTCGAACATGCCAACAAGCATCGTCAACCTCCTACCTCCAAGGAAGCTCACCACGATGGCAATGCTGCTGGTCGACCTGGTGGAAGAGGCTGCCAGAGGAAAAGGGGTCATGTGGAAAAGGACAGTGGTGCTGAAGAACACCTCCATGGCTATAGACGTGTGAAGACGGAGAAGAGGAGAAGCAACCTAAGGTATAGGGAAGTTGAAGTAGAGGTGTCACTGGGATATAGAGGTAAGCAGGAAAATTTACAGTGGGAGGGGAGGCGGAAAGCTGAGGGAACTGACAACTAGGCTTCTGCTACGATGGACCTTCATCTCCACTTCCCCTTGGTTGGCGCTGCATCCAGAAGGCCCTGGTGGGGGCACTGGCTGGACATGGACGTTTGTGAGTGACATAATAAGCTGGTTTTAGACGTGATAGCGGTGTGTTGTCATCTGTAAATCCTGCGCCATGGTGGTGAAGATGCGTTTTTCTTGGTTTCATCGATTGTCTTGCTGCAAGCAATCGATTTCATTTCAGTGTGAAGTTTCCAGTTGAGTGTGTGATGCTTCCAATCATCTGTCAGGAGGGGTGTGGCTTTGTTGAAATTGATTGAAGTTCGGCACATATTCCTAATGGAAATGTGTTGTGTTCCATAACTTCCATTGGTTTATGGATCCTATGCAGGACTGTTGGTCCTGTTTGCTAGATGAAGTTGTGGTGTTCAATCTCTTGTCATCTGCATTTTATTTTTATTTTTATAAATTTTATTTATTTATTTTTATTTTTATTTTTTTTAGCAACTGCAAATCTTAATGTGGTAATACTTTGATTCTCTTTCTTTTCTTTCCCCCTAAATGTCCTAGCCGATAACCTTGCTGGATCCTTACGGGAATTTAATTTTTAATTGCTATAACAAAGACCTTAGCCCGTGAGTGAGGGTTAAATTTTGTTGATCTGTTTTCATCCACAGAGGCAGGAACTATGGTGGTATGTTTTCCTCTAGCTTTTCACATATCTCCTAGAGTTTCGCTGGCTGGGTTTGATCATGTGATCTGATTGTTGCAGGCTACCTGGACCCTGAGTACTACCAGACTCGGCGGCTGACGGATAAAAGCGATATCCATAGTTTTGGAGTTGTCATTCTGGAATTAATAAGTGGACGAAGGTCGGTGGAGTTCACAGGAAAGTCTCACTTCAACCTTGTCAAATGGGTAGGTGCCTCAATGTCAGGTCCTTGGAAGAGGACTGAGTGTGCTGACAATGCAAAGCTGCTTTTTGGCTGGTATGATGAATTTATTGGCTAAGCCTCTTAGAATGAATGGGACAGACAACTTTCTCACATGCCTCTCATGGGCTGGACTAGCTCTTTGCTCTTTTGTGATTTGCGCATGGAATTATTGGGCATCTTCGTAATCAGGACAGGACTTCGTATCTATGGCATCATCTATCTCAAATCCCCCACTCAACCAGCCCCTTTCTCCTCTCCTTCTTTGGTAGGGCTCAGATGACTGCGTTCTTCCTCGCCCTGTCAATCTCCTCCATTGCCTCGTCCACAAACAGATTCTCCTGGTCCCACTGTTCCACGGTTCCAACCCAATTGCTACCGCCATGGTCTTATTGTCCCACTGTTTCCCACTGTCCCACTGTTTCCCACTGTCCCACTGTTTCCCACTGTCCCAATGTTTCTCATGCCAGAACTGCTCTTATTGTGTCCCGTCAACCACAGGTACTGCATTGTCGCTCATCTAAGGATCAGCAGACTGTTTCTTTGTCAGGCCCGGTTCTATGTGTGCCTTCTTCTCACATTGTTGGTGTTCCGTTGCTGCACACGGCAATGCCCACTCCTGTGTCCCCTCCAGGCAGTCCAGCTTCCAATGGTCATTCAGGAGACTGTGATTCGTCCCTCCGCAACATTGAAGGTCCATGACTGACCTGCTGCGCAGGGTGCAGTCCCCATTTAGGATGCAGCCCAGTGTTGCATACCCCGACGGTCGGCGTCCCTTGACTGGTCGGCTACCGACCAGCCGACCGGTCGGCTGGTCGGCACCTACCGGTCAAGGTCGCCGACACTATATATTTAAAAAATAATAATAATAATAATAAGTCGGGGTTCAGAACCCCTAATAACCTCACCAACACCCCCATACTGGCCCCCAATACCCCCATACACCCCCCCAACGCCCCCAAACCGCCCCCAACACCCTCATTACACTCCCCAACACCCTCATTACACTCCCCAACACCCTCATTACACCCCCCAATACCCCCTATACCACCCCTATACCACCCTAAAAGTTTCTCAGCGGATTTGGACTGTACTCAGCATCGCAGTACAGTCGCCAACTCAGATTTGAAAAAAAATCAGTGGATGGTTGTTTTCTGCCTGGTCTGCAGACCGCCGACCGGTCGGCCCTACTGGTCGGCTGCAAAACAGTCGGCGGTCGGGGTTGGCGGTCGGCAGGTATGCAACCCTGATGCAGCAGAGATTGTGGGGGGATTGGAACATCACTTGGTTAACTTGCACATTTGCCCTGCAAGACGCAGGCCACATGGGTAATCTGCAGAATACCACACAAACATCGACACAGCCCAGGACATTCCATGTGTGGAACATCACCTGAAGTGTTGGCCAATGTCTGGTGCTAGAGCCTGTTCACTTTTGGCTATCTACATGATTGATTGTGATGGCCGGCCTCTGCTGCATGTCTGATCGCTGCAGGCTGTTTAGCAATCGATATGAGTAATGGTCGCCTTGTGGCTCACACGAGCGCTGAGCTAGAGGGTTGAAAAAAAAAAAGAAAGGAAGAGGACTGAAGTCGCTTACCAGTAACAGAAGCAGACAAGCGGAGGAAGATGAAACTGCCCTCACCAGCATGTTCACAGATCGTTAAAACGCAATGAGGGAGGATGATACCTAGGCGCAGAACGCTGGCATTGCTCCCTGTGGCTGTGCCTATCTCTCGCGATCTATTGAACCCTGCTATTTTTTCCTGCTATTTTTGCTTAGATGTGCCATATGCAATTGCGGACGTTATGGCAGAAACGTCAAGAAACCATACAACTACTATTTTTCTCTCACACTCTCAGATCCTTCTTTGAGTTTTCAACTTGTCACGTTGTTGCCATTTTTCGTACTTTTACACATCCCCGGACTTGAGCTGATGGCTTCTGGCACGCACAAAGGAAATATGTCGAAGAGGCATGCATCAGACCACCAAAACAATCCATATTTACATATCCTTTTTTCTTTTTTATGTCTTGTTTCTAATGAAGGGTTATTATTATCAAAGCTGGAACCCGGTTCCAGCGTCCCTGATGGAACACGGCATTATTATCAAAGCTGGAACCCGGTTCCAGCGTCCCTGATGGAACACCCGTGCAGCGGTAAGGCTCACCCACTATAAGGCAGTCATTCTTTCTTTTTCTTTTTCTTTTTTAATGAAAAAGATTGTGAGGGGTGTCGGGGACAGTGCAGGGCGCGGATGTCCGGCCGGAGGCTGGATGCACCGTGTTCAGCCCTCCATGTTGGCACAGTGGAACCACTCACAGACAGGGGACAGTCAAGGATGGAACATTCAACCTCGAACACACACACACTCGGGCAGGTATCGAGCGAGAGTGGTGCTTCTCAATCGCCGGCAAATGGGTGTGGTATTATTATCCCGATTCAGGTTCCGAGCCCCCCCTAGGTGACCTGCCGGGAGGCGATCAAGCACCCTGTGGCCTGTCACTTAGGGCGGTGTCGTTGGCCTGCTAAGGGAATAGCAAACCCTAGCCTCCCTGCCCTGCTCTTCCCAACTAAGCCCACCCTCCCCCGCGCCCCATCCCCGCATGACCCTGCACAACCCAAGAGGGGCCACAAGCGATGCTTTTCGACAACCCACACGGAGGAATGCCATGTGGCACGCCCAGGGGGGCAGCCTCCGATGTGGCAGCCACAATGGCTGGATCCCACAGTTCGCAGCTGTATCTTGAAACCCCTGTGCCGGGCCAGGTTTCAAGCACCGGACCTCTTGCGTTGTGCACACACGCCTGCGTCGGTCGATGTCCGCCGGCCAAATGCACAGGGCGCACGTCCTAAGATTCCAACCTCCGCCCTGACACCACAATGCGCATTTGACACCTGTGCTGTACCCACTGAGCAAAGGCCGTGTGTTCAAACTTAAAACCATAAGACCATGCTTGGCGTGTCCCCAGTCGAGCACAAACTGACTCTGGAATAGTCTGGAATGTCATTTGGGAGCGTGCATCCTTTTGCCATCATCTGTGGCATGCCTCACACGCAGTCACTTGTTTCTCATGTCTGCAGGCAAAAAGTGAGTTGGCTAAGGGCAACATACGACAGGTCTTGGACAGCCGGATTCCGGATGGATCTTACAACGTGAATGCTCTCTGGCGGCTTGCAGACATTGCAATAAGGTGCTGTGCGACCACTTCAGCAGACCGCCCGAGCATTGGTCAGGTGGTAAGATGCATTCAGGAGGCAAAGGGTGATGAAATGAGGACTCCCGTCGTGCAAGAAGCTCCTGATAAACCTCCATCAGACGATGAAGATAATGTTTTCACCTTTCGATGGTGAGCATTCCACGCCCCGTCTTTTCTTGCTGGATTGATGGAGAGTCATGCTGCATTGTGTTATTAGGAGTGGTGGGTGTTAGTTACATGGATGCATCCCATGTTCTAGCGGAAGATTCATTCTCATTTTGCACATGTGTTGAGTAGCGAAGCGGGCCCGTAGTCGGGTCGTGCTATGTACAAAACGACAAAATGGATGGGCCTCTCTCCACTACTCAACACGTGCAAAATGAGAACGAAGCTTCCGCTAGAACATGGAAGCATACACTGCCATGTTTTTTTTTGAAGTTTTGTG